ATATATATATATATATATATTTATCTCTTTAACTAAATAATTCTCAAATTTTTACTAAATTATTGCCATAAAAAAATGTGCTTTTAAAACATTAAAATAATGTTGTTAAATCATGAGTAAATGTTGTTAATATATTTTGATAAGACCTATATTACTAAAAACTCTTAATAACATTTTACATATTAATAAAAATATTTTAAAAAATGTTATAAAGTGATATCTTGTAGCATTTTAATAATATTGTTAAGTTTTCATAAATTTTATAAAATGATAATTAGATTATACTATCACTTATACTTTATGACTTTTGTCTATAAATTCTTTAAGATTTAAGATATTTTAAGTTTTTTTTTTACAAGAAAAGATATCATAAGTTAGTCATCACTAAAACTATGTCACATAACAATGTTTATTTATCTTAAATTTCATTAAATGATTATAAATATTCTTCATGTGTCATTCTTTTACTCAATGAAAAACTTCAATTTTGAAAGAAAAATAATTAAATATAAGAAAAGTGTTATATATATATATATATATATATTCTTTTTTTACTTGATGTGAGAATAAATTTTGAAAAATAATTATAAAGAATAACATTGAGATAAAAAAAATATTACTCTATCTATTTTTAAAAAAAAATTACAATAATATATTAATTTAATTTATAATAATATTTTGATAAATATAAGTAGACAAATATAACTAAAGATATTAAATACAGTAGTGTAATAAGTCAAATAATTTCACATCCTTATATCCTTATTTCATAAAAATATATGTAAACGAGACCACAATTTTTAAGAACCCTTTTTCTTTTGAAGTGGCGTTTATAGAAGCTAGCACCTACTATTTGAAAAGCATTTAAATAAGAGTCGGCTCCAATAGAAAAATTGTATTAATATCTTTAATCTATATTAGTCTCCAAACTTGGTGAACCATCCATAACAAGAAAAGATAAATAAAATGAGAACCTAGCTCGTTGGAGATACCCTTGTTATACATGCAAGATATTTATTATTATATATGATCCTTATTTAATACACAAGGAATCACTTAGTCTTATTTTTTATCTTATCCGGAAAAAGAAAAGAGACACACACGCCAATACAGGAAACGAAAAAGGAGGAAAGGGACATGATCAAATAAAGACACTAATTACAACTGTGTGTAAAGCCTAAATGTTTGTTGTTTTGGTGAACTGAAACATTAATCCTAGTCTGCATCCTCGTTCTTAAAGATGATAACGTTGGAGCCAATGAATTTTGGGAGCTATTCAAATGTCCTTATTTGCTTTTGTTTCTTTTTTTAATTGCCTTATAGATGCAGTTTAAGTTCTGAATTGGAGATAATCATTTCTTATTGTAGCCATGCAATCAAAACAGAACAACTTTGCATATGATTATCAGATTGTCGTTTCGTGACTGCGAAAGGATGATTATATTAATACGGATATTTAAGTTCTCTATGTCATTCTCAACTTCCTCAATTTAAATTAATGGTTTTTTAATCATCATATTTTCTTCTAAATTATTATTTTTCTCTATTAAAGAAGATAAAAAATAATTTAATTGTACTTTTTTATTACTCATGTTTTATAATTTTCTAAATTTTATCACCTAATTTTTAAAATTATACATCTTATTACATAATTTTCAAAATTTTATATATTTTATTATTCAATTTTTTTTATTTAAATGTAGTTAATTAATGAGTGATGTGATATAATATTAATTATAAACATGATTTATTGACCAACATATCATATGGTGAGATGAGTTACTGATATAATATAATGTATCATATCGATAATTAAAATGTTATATTGGTAACTAATATATTTATCATAATATTCATCCAGTTAATTAACAAAATTGTAAAAAATGTATAAGTGTAAAAGTTTGGTGATAAATTATACAACTTTAAATATTAAGCCACAAAATTTACAAAATTGAGGTGTAAAAAAGTGCATTTAAGAGTATGAAAAGAACAAAATATTTGGTTTCTTGGATTAATTAATTATACTTCAACGTAAACTCCTCAATTTATGATTAATATTATAACAACGATAAAAGGTTGTCTCCTTTGTAAAACTTTGTGTCGATATCAACGACACGGCCTGCAATGGTGACATTCTAATATACACATAAATTACGTCCATACCCATGAAGTTTTGGCATGGTCTTATTTGTCCCTTTAGGGGGATGAAGATGCTTGCCTTATGATTCAAGCTTATAAAAAACCATCTACCCTTGAAGCTCAAAAGGTTCGGTAAGTGATGTAGTGGCAGGGTTTGAGATTCCAAAGAAGCAAAAATGGGAGCAGTGAGTGATGGAAGCCGCAGCAGAAAGAAGTCATCATCAAGAGGGCACCACAGGTTTGTGGGGGTTCGACAAAGGCCATCAGGGAGATGGGTGGCTGAGATCAAAGATTCTCTTCAAAAGGTTAGGCTTTGGCTTGGAACATTCGACACTGCTGAGGATGCAGCTAGGGCTTATGACAATGCTGCTAGGGCTTTGAGAGGTGCCAATGCTAGAACCAACTTTGAGTTGCCCTCATCAGCATCTTCTGGTGGTGCTACTAAGCGTGGTGGTGGTGGTTCCAACTTCATGCCTGATCGCACTGAACCCTTTTCTTTTGAGGATGTGAATGAGCCAGATGCAGAAGCTGAAGGCCTTCTTGGTGCACTTAAGGCCAAGCTTCTTGATGGAAAGAAAGACAAGTTTCACTTTCCATTTCTTGCTAATTGTGCTTCCCCGGTTGCTCAATCTGGCATGGTTTCAAGATCATCTCCGATCAACTGTTCTGGGAAGAAAGAGTTGTTACCACCATGCAATAACAACCCTGTGCATGGTTTGATGAGTAGTACTACTCTGACTTCAAACACTTGTGCTAGGAGTGTGGTTATCCCAAATCATGATCATGAAGGTGCTGTAGCAAGCAGTGATAGAGTCAACTCTCATCAACTTTGTCAAACCCCACCTATGGCAAGCATGGCATGGCCCAATGAAGTGGCATGTGAATTGCCTTTGCCCTCACATATGAGCCAAGTTCCTGATAATAGCCTTCTTGCGTCTGCCACCTTGACATGGCCACTTTCTGAGGTAATTGAGTCCACTACTGTTGATATGACATGCACAGATCAGGGACCATCAAGTAGCAACAGAAGTGGCCAATTGAATATGGTGACCATGCAGTTGCCTTCAGTTGGTGGTGCTGCAACTGAGAGTCTTTGGACATTGGATCAGCAACAACAATTTGTGCAATGTGAGAACAACAGTTGGTTTAGTTTTAATGGATCTTGGGATCCTCTCCTTTATGTGCCCTCAGAGCTAGTTTGATTAAGTGTTAATATTGTGTGTGAGTGTGAAACAAGTTTTGATTTGTCAATTCTTAGTCTTGATCTACTAATCATTCTTTTAATAACTTGCTACCATAGAAGACCCTTTTTTGTGTGCTCAATGATTTGCCGATTTTCTTCTGTGGGGGGAAGTAGAATGTTGTGTTTGTTCCTGACCATTTTGATGTGTAAGGCATTGTTTTGTTTATCTGTGATAAATCGATCCCTAAAAATGACAGAGAAAAATACTCTTTCTTAAATCTCCAAACGAAGTTTTATTTTGTTTTCTTTTTTATTGAATCATTCAATGACTCCGGCTTATAAATTAATCAAACGTTTACTCTTTCTTTTGGGCTAAACTAAGCGATGTTAATATTCTTTTCGTGACTTTGTCGTCAGCAAACATTTGTCACAAAATAATAACACAATTTACTACACTCAGGTGATTACCATTCTGTAATGATCATTCTAATTACATTTGTCATGATTTCACTATTTTAGTGATAGGTTGCAACTTTCAACGTTTGATACAACTTAAATTTAAAAGAAACAAACATTTTTTATTTAAATGAGAAAATAAATCATTTTTTTAAAATAAATTAAACTGAATACGCATTTAATATAATCTAATCTAAATTGAAGGAGTATCAGATTTTCACTCCATCAGATGCCTTGTTATTTTTTTCCAAGTATATCCAAGTTTTAGAAAAATTTCGTGTCCAACAATTCATTGATTCCACCAGCCAGCACCTCGTATGTAAATTCTCTTATTTGGGATAAAAAAAAACCCAAAATGATTTAAGAGTTAAAGCTTTATTCTTTCCATTTCCGAATGTATCATCATTTTGTTCGCTGACATATATCACAAGTTTCAATGTACCAATATATAATACTTAGTCTTTTTAAGACATAAATATAAATACAAATAAGTTTATTATCTTAAAATATAAATAAATTTTAATCAAATTAATTTTATTTAATATTTTAAAATAATAAATAAAATTATTAAGGTTAAAACCCTTATTTAGTTTCTTATAATATTTTTTTTGTTTCAATTTAGTCCTACTTTAATTTTTGGTTTCAATTTGGTACCAAATAATTTAAATTATTGCAATTTGGGACTTCCGTCCAAATGATTTAAAAGGAATTAATTATTGGCCACGTGGATGCCACGTAGATGCGTAGGTGGATGCCAAATTTGTTGAACATACCTGGAACCAGAACGGCCCATGCTGAAACCAGAACGGCCCGTTCTGGTTGCACGCTTGGTGTGTTGATTTTGTACTTGGAACGGGCCGTTCCAGATGCAAAATTAACACACCAATAGTGTAACCAGAACGGGTCATTCTGATTTCAGCACGGGCCATTCTAGTTGCAGAACGAGTCATTCTGGTTCCAGAATAGTCAATAACTATAGTTCACGGTTGTGAATCGTGCAAGAAAAAGACCCAAGGTACAAAGTATTTCAAACACTAGATTTGGTAATATTGTCAATGGAGATTGATAACTTCAATTGCTAAACATTTGGGCTATACAGTGTATCATTAAGAACGATGCAGTGTATCACTAAGGACAATGGTAACAGGTTTTATTTCATTGTTTGTCAAACTGGAATGAACCACTTACTACCAAATTGACACTATACAGTCAAGGATGAAACGAAACGATGTTTCCCCTTGAAGTCATTGACGATGTACCCCAACAATAACAACTTGTTCTTGAGGAGGTATAAACTGAATTTTTGTGGTTTAGGGTTTCCCTTCAGCGTTACCCAGATCATTTCCTTTCTTAGTAATTTCTTTGAACTTTTTTAGTATATGTTATGTTCTGAATTTTTGTTTTCAGTTTCTGAACCATGTTTCTGTCTTTAAATTTATGATATGTTATGAATTTTTATTTTCAATTTTTGAATCACATTGCGGCATTGTGGTCAACGAATGCATGAAGTTGGCGTTCTAGAATGGGCCGTTTTGAATCTAGAACAGGCCGTTCTGAATCCAGAACGGCCTGTTCTAACACCAGAACGACCCTTTCTGATTTCAGAACGGTCTGTTCTGATGCAATCATGGTGTGTTAAATTTGCATTTGGAACGACCCGTTCCAGTTGCAAAATTAACACATAACATGTGCAAGCAGAACGGGTCGGTCTGGTTTCAGAACGAGTCTGGTTCTAGGTGTATTCATGAAATTTGGCGTCTACCTATGCATCTACGTGACATCCACCTAGCATCCACGTGGCCAACAGTTAACTCCGTTTAATCATTTGGACGGAAGTCCCAAATTGCAATAATTTAAATTATTAGGGACCAAATTGAAATATAAAATTAAAGTGAGACTAAATTGAAACAAAAAAATTATTATAAGGGACCAAATAAGGGTTTTAACCAATTACTAATGACAGTATAATGATATTTTAAGAATTAAAGTGTATATTTTATTTTATATAAAATCATAAAAACTAAATGTATTTAATTATTTTTTAATTTGTGTAAAATTAATCTTTTTTCTTATATATAACTTCAGATAATACCAAATATTTAGTGCGAATGGTAAGAGATTTTGAACTCTTAATTAACTTTTTTTTTCCGTCTCACCGCATATATTCCTTGGTTAATTTTGTTAAAAAATTAATTTCGTTTACAATATTATAATTATTACTAACTCTAAGGATCAATTTTTAACAATTAAATACAAAATTTTACGCTAAATAAATTATCTCCACGAGTGAGAATACTTAATTACACTCTGTTATCCATCAGATATTCAAGATCTTGGAATGTCAATTTCTTCTTGACTAGTCATAATATTAGAAACATTTTAACTTGAAAAGAAAGATTAGTGAGTTTAGCGAATATTCTATTATAGTGGTGGGAATTTGTGTGACACTGCCACACTGGGACAAGGACTTGACAAAATCTACAAGAGGCACGATCTATGGCGAATGAACAAGGCTTTTATGCATGTCAACACTCCTTTTTCATTTTTTCCTTTTCTTTAAGATGAAAATCCAACTTGCACCCTGTGCCCATGGATGGAAACTAGAAAGCAAGTGCTAAATAATTCTTAGCTAAGATATCGTATAAATGAACGGTCCTCTTTATTCAGAAGGAATTCAAGAACCACGAAAATGTTTTAATTTTTATTTTATCAGCAAAATTTTCTTTTATTATAGAACTAAAGGAGTACCAAAACCCATAATCAAGTAGACATTCAATGTTGATACCCTGTCTACTTGTTAGATCAAATTTGTACTTAAAAAAGTACAAATGCTAACAAAAGTAAATTTTGGAACAACAAGAACACATTTACTTAGTTATCCCAAAATGACCAAACTCTCTTCCCCCATATGCAACAGTGACTGCACCATTATATATCAGAAATGAACAATGCAGACACTTACTCATTATGAGACAGCAATAATGCATTTACTGGGATTTACCTTGTTCGTAACAATATTGGAATACCTTATCCATCCTAAGTCAAGCCCACGCCGTGAGCATTGGTTTAAATGAAAAGTGTTGCATTATAATTGCAAAAAAGTTTGAGGAAGGAACGTCGCCCTTGAAAGCCAAGGGACAGTTGACATCTTCATAATAATCTATGTCTCTAAAATACAATGCTATAGAATTTATGCCATTTTCCAGCCAATCCATCATATGTGCATCATGTCCACCAAGCCATGTTGGCCATGACAATTTTGGCCCCTAACGGCATCAAGATTATATTGTTTAATTAATTTGCACTTTTGCAGAGTCAAGAATATATCATCTCTTATCATGAAGATATCAAGAAAATAAATTGCCTCTCCATTTTTTCTCCCGCAAATTACCTTTAAAAACACAAAAAAAAAAAAAAATATTACATACAGTGATATAAAAAAATATTATTACAGATATAAATTTATTTGATACATAACTATACATAATTTTAATATTGATTTTCAATTAAATTTAATAACATATATTATGTATTATTATAATTTATTACTATATTTTTTAATAATATACTAAACATATATTGTATCTATAATAAAAGTAAAAGTGATTTTTAACAATAAATATTTTGTTAATTATAAGGTATATGTTATTATATTAATTGTTGTATCGTGTGATCTTTAACTACGATAATCATTTTATTCTTGTTAATAAACACCTTTAAAATATTATCTTTAGCACATATTTTTATAATTAATTACTAAAATGTATATAAATTAATTTAGCTAAAGAGAGCATATTTTATATTGATCCTTAAAAGTTATTTGTCAGCTAAAATATATAATATTGAAAACATATGGAGCTTTCTAAAATCTGATTCTATAAAAGTCATAAAAGGTATGGGAAATTACACATGGAAATAGGTTAAAGAGTGTTTGTCAGCCACCTATATGGCCAATTCATGTGAAATTTGTTTTAGGTAAAGAATATTAAGTAAAGGATTAGTTTGGATAAACTATTTTAATTAAGAGGTATTTATAGAAGAAGAATATATATAAAAAAATGAAATTAACTTATTTAAAAGCTAAAACTAGTTTATATAAAAATTAATATGTAGAAAATTTTTATATTAACTTCTTTAAAAGTTTTATTAAATTTATTTGTAAGTTAATTTTAACTTAGAAATAAAATAATTTTATTTTTTTCTTTATGTTTGTTCTCTTATAAATATTTATAAAGAAATTTATCCGAACAAACCTTAAATAGATTTTTAAATTAAATTTAACCTTTCAAAAGATCAAAGTAAACTTAAAGAATAAGCTTTTAAAACTTGATGTTAGTGTTTGAATGTTTACATTTCTATTAAAATATCAAATCATTATTGCCATTCAACAATAATTATAATCTCATAGGTTTATCAAAAAATTTCTTAATGTAAAGGTAATAAATTTTAAAAATAACTTATAAACAAGATTAACAATAATAAATATTGGAATTGGACTTATTATCAATCTTCTTTCAAGTATCCAAATGATCAAAGATAAACATTCCCTTCATTCATCAATATCATCATTGTTGATTCAAATAAATTTCTTTAATTTCTTAATGAAATGAGATATCAATCTTTTTTCCAAATACCCGATCCCTTGAGTATTTAGAAAAGAAGTTGAGTTAAGTTTCGATGATTAAATTTATTAACAAATCTAACTTTATTCCTAGACATCAAATTCATTAGATGAGTCATTCATGATTGAG